AGGAACACGATGTGGTCAGCTCCATCAGAAGAGCCAACACTCTTGCTGCCTGCAGGTCTCCTCAGCCAGCCAGTCTGCTCTCTGTCTCCACCCGCAGTGACCTGGGATCTTATTATACTTCTCCATCATTCAGACAGTGCTGTTAGACCCTGAATACTGGGGGCTTAACTCAATGCAATTTCAACACAGGCCACTGAGGGTTTCTATTGCTGTGATTAAAACATCATGACCAAAAGCAACGTGGGGAGGAAAGGGTTTATTCAGCTTACAGTTCCCCAGCACAGTCCATCCCTGAAGGAAGTCAGGCAGGAACTCAAACAGGGCAGGAACCTGGAGGCAGGAGCTGATGCAGAGGCCATGGAAGGGTGCAGCTTACTGGCTTGCTCCCCAAGATTTGCCCAGCCTAATTTTTATCTGCCCCAGGAACACCTACTCAGGGGTGCCACCACCCACAATAGGCTTTTCCGCCCCCACACACACATCAATCACTAATGTAGAAAATGCACAATAGGCTTGCCCGTAGGCCAATCTGGTGGGGGCATTGTTTTTTTTTCAGTTGAGATCTTCTCAAATGACTCCAGCTTGTGTCAAGTTGACTTCAAGCTAGCCAGCACAGAAATTTTCTATGCTGGCTATTTTTATTTTTGTTCTATTTTATTTCTATTTTTATTCCCTTTAGAGCAGTATTTCCCCAATATTTAGCTAAATCTAAAGATGCAGAGTTAGATTTCAAGGGTTTGATACCTCTTCAAGGACTGATTTTTTTTCCATGTGACTAGGCTACAGAACCACATGTGCTCTTACACACTTGCATGCCTATAGGGCAGCGGCTTGGGCTTGTGAGACGGGAGGCCACCGTCAGCATGCCATCTCTTCTACATGAACTGTTTTCTGCTGAGAATGCAGGCTATCAGTGTCGCAATACAGACCCAGGCTCCCAGCATATTCATAACTTTGCTTCTGAGGCTCAAAGTGCTGCAAACAATTAGATCTGAGAGCTCCATTTTCCTGCTTCTTTTGTGCTTCCTTTTCACCTTCCATCGGTACCTTAAATTTTTCACCAGGCTCTTCTGCAAAGTATGTTGTTGTCATTGAATATATTCTTGGGAACCTCACAGTCTATCATCAGGATCCAGGTCCTCACGTGCCTTGCCTGGCTGAATCAGAAACTACTTCATTCTAGCGATGCTCCAGGGATTCCGTTTGGTTTTGAATTCCTAGTGGCCATGGAGTCCAAGAGGATGAGAATGCTGTCAGCACATAGGCAAATGCTGAATGACGCCATGCACTGAATAGTGAAGGGAGTTCCAGGACAACAAATTTCTTCCAGTATAAGAAAGTACTGAACAAGAAAGCTCTGTGTTCGCTGTCTCTCCATGCCGGACCAATAAGCCAGAGAGGTGGGGGTGGGGTAGGGGCAACAACAGGTAGCAAGAGTCACCTAAAGTTATTTCAGGAGGTTAAAAATTAAATAAATCTATGGCCTTGATCATTAAAGCTTCAAATTGGGAGTCTGTGTCAGATGGGTGTTAATGATTCCAAGTAGCAGCTGTGTGTAGAACAAGACTTCTCAGTCTCTCTTATTAGTGTAAAATTTTCTAGCCTTTCTCTGCAGAAGGTGCTTTCTTAGATCTCCAATGGTGCAGCTTAACAGACATAACCTGCTCTATGCTGCTGTAAATAGTGTTTCATCTCAGGCCACTCACCATGTTTTCCCAGCTATTGGGCAGGTCCCCGACCTAACACTGTGTGTATTGGCACCCCCAATGTCTCTGCACAAAAATTATGCCATGATTTTTAAAAATCCTTTGAGAATTTTATACAGTAATTTTTTTTAACCATACTCTATCCCACCCCCAACTCCTTCCAGATCCTTCCCCACTTCCCTACCCATCTGATTTCCTGTTCATGCCTGACACTGTCTGATCTATGCCAGGGATTTCTTAACATGCCTTTTTGAGATTTTTTCCCTCTCTGCCCACCTTTGGGACTAATAATTTGGTAACCAGGGGACTTCCCAAGAAAGTGTAGAGAATGAGCAAGTTGTTCATGTGATGTAAACCTGTTGCATTGTGATAATGATGTATGTGGAACACCCACTACTGTGATGGCCTATGGTACACACCCAACAGACTTCTTGTTTTTATTATGAATTTTGTTTATTGGTATGAGTGTCTTAACTTCTTTACCAGATTTGTGTTCTCTACTGTGCTTAAGCCCTAGCAATTAATTACTCATTTAGGGGATTCACTACATTATTATGTATAGTATATTACTGTAATCAATAACTGAAAGATGTCTAGGCCAATAGACCAGCACTAATTTGTGTAATTTAACAATACCCGCAAAAAAGGCCTTCCTATCTATGGCAGAGGCTGTTGGTCAACCATGATACTGTGATACTGACACAGTTCTGTCTTGTTACATTGGGCCAGGCTTGGGCCTTGGCTACTCCACTCCAATTCTAGAGACCAACTCTAGATAGAACTTGCCACTAAAGCCCTTCTGGAGTACGCATGCTTACAGACCCTTCTGGAAAACGTGTTCTATGATAGAGAGAGGGAAGCTGGCTTTGGTCCATGATGCATCTTTCCTGTGTTCATGAAGAAGTTCTTTTGTACAATATGAGCAGATGTATAGTAAAGAGGAAGTGTATTCCTGAAAAAGTCAACTGTCTCTACATCGACGTATTTGGCCACAGACTCCTCTAGATGTCGCTTCTTCTCACAATGCGGTGATAATAGAAGCCACTGTCTAATGGATCTTGATATGAAACTGTGGGAATGTCTGTCTTACAGCGTGTGTGTGTGTGTGTGTGTGTGTGTGTGTGTGTGTGTGTGTGTGTGTGTGCGCTTGTGTGTTTCTCCATGGAAACTCTTCTGAGTTGGCCTTGATTCTCTCTCACTCCACTGTGGGGAACTCTGAGCCTGAGACAGGAAGCACCTTTCCCCACAGAGCATCTAGACAATCTGTGGCATCTTCACTTTCCCTGGTAGTAGCTACTCTGCAGCTATCAACAGCAAATGTTTGAAGTTTTTTTTGTTTTTTTGGAGGAAGGACCATGAACACAGACATGTGGAAGAGCCTGATTAGATGGATCATGTGCTCTAGCTGACCCCTCGACCAAAGCCAACATTCTCAGTTCAGGATTCCATTTGACAATGATGAGGAGGAAGAAGAGCCCCAGGCCACTTGGGCTGTGGTCTACTTAGCCACCTAGGAGTGCAATCCTCCTGAACTATCACAGACCATGCGTGGAAGGCCGGCTCCCAGATCTGCTCCAGGGTAGCACAAAGAACACCTCAGAGTAGAGAGGGCTTGGGAAAAACTCTTATCTATCTGAGGGCTAGACTTTTTCTACCTGATGGGAAAATAAGGAAACACACACACTTTCTGATGGTAATGCTCTCTTTTACTTCACCATGTAATGCTTTACACAGCTCCTTCACACTCTTCATACAGCTCTTAACACAGTTCCTGTACGTAGCAGCGGCTCTTTCACACAGCTTTCTCTCTCACACACTCACACACATAGACTTCTTCTGCATCATTCATTTACTCTGCTCATTCACTCTCTCATTCATTCTCTCACATTTCTCTCGACTTCTCTAATGCTTCTTCTTCACCTCTTACTCAGCACACACACACTTCACTCACACTCTGCATCGCTTCCTTCTCTACATTGCCTCTGCTCCTCCCACAGCCAAACTCTGGACAATTAATTACAATATGTTACATTGTCAGGGGTCCGACCCAATCTCATAACACATGATGAATCACACAGTTTTTCTCAGACTAGGACAGTCGCACTGATCAGCCAGTCATGCTGACCAGCCAGTCATGCATGGCCAAGCATGTAACCCTTTCCCAGACAGAGAATGACATTGAAATTCAGGACTTAACAATAACGGTAGCAGGCTGAACCTTGAGTCATAGGGGTACATGTAGAAAGAAAATTATTGCAGGGAGTTATGTATATCAAAGTTGTTTCAGTTTTGACCTTGAATCATCAACAAACAACACCTGGGGTCTTGTCTTTATGTATTTTCTGCAGGGGCAGCTTAGTCTGTTTTGAATTTGTTCTGTAGTCTAAAATTAACTATCTTTGTGACTGAGAATACTGTTACTTTCCTGCGTCAATAAAGAACAATATTCTAATATTATTTCTATACCTCAGAATTATACAGCTTAAGCAGAAATCATCATCCTGACCATCCACAGATAAATGTGTGCCCGAAGATGTAAAACATAATACCAATGGGCTGTGGAAGGGACCCCATAGCTGTTCTTTTTAGGGAGGTATAGTGGTGTCACATGAGAAAATTACAGACAGAAAACAACCAGTTTCCACAGCCAGTGACCGTACGGCCTTGCCAGGTGAGGCTCCCCAACAGGAAGTTATAAATCTGGTGGGTCAACTTGTCAAACACTAGCTGTCACCTGCTATATACTCCCATGGCCCTCAGCACCAAACAAGAATAGGAAGCTTGAGCAGAGAAATGCAGCCATAGTGTTTCTGTGCACATGACTGTTAAGCTCCCAAAGCCTGATGATTTCTGGGAGGGGCAGAGGTTCTTAGCTACCTTCAGCACTGATGGAACAAGTAGGTAAAAAGGGCTCGCATACCAGAGAGCACAGCCTGAGGGAACCAGTGTTTGGCATCCTCCTCGCTGTTGCCTGGGAGGCACATCTGGAGGCTAGTCTTAGGTTTGCAGGTTCCCAAAATTATAAATGCTGCATGTGCTAATGAATGTGTCTACGATACTTTGCTGAATAGCCTCCAACTAGAGACTTTCTTCCTCAAAAGGTAATGTGGGAGGACTATACATTTGAGATGTACTTTCTGTTACTGACATACAATCTGTACATTCAGAGTTTGTCCACTCGAAAGAAGAAAGTCTCTCATTTTTAAATGTTAGATATATGTCTATTCTGACGACATTGTGCCCTGATTTATCATGATAAACTAACAGCCATGCTTTCCTTTTTACACAAACTAGTGCTTTCGGATGCCCATACTCAGACATGAACTTGAAGAGGGAGGTGACACTTCAGGACCGCCTGAGAGACCAAACAGGGACAAATCTGGAATCAGAGTCTTCACATTCCAAATCAGAAAACATCCGCGATTTGAATTTCAATGGAAAATGTGAAAAGATGAACAGTCAGTCCAGGTAAGAAACTTTGGAAACTTGAACCAGAAAGTAACCATATGGAATTCTAATAGAATGAATTTATTACTAGTATTAGTTCTCTGCATTTCGCCAAGATAATTCTTCTGGGTAATGTCATATTTAGTATCTCACAGAGTTAACTCACTCCTCCATCAAACTATTTGAATAGGTCTCTTTTCTGAATGTACATATTGTCCGTAAGCAACAGAAAGTACATCTCAAATGTATAGTCCTAAAAGATTCCCTTTTCTCTTGCAAACATTTTTGTTCTCTGGACTCATTTCATTAGCGAAATTTTTTGGCACGAGCTGAGAATTCATACCCCTGGAGTCACATTAAACGGTGCCCTTGGATTAGTTACTTGTCTGTCATCTTTAATTCACACATGCCTGAGATATGAGTTCTGACTCTCTTTGCTCTCTAACCTAACTCGGCGGCGGCAGCGGCGGCAGTGACACGTTAACTTTCCTAAATATAAATTTACAGTTTTCATTTTTTATTTCTGTAGTTGTTTTCTGAGAAGCTTCAGATACAACCTTATTTGACTTTTTTTTTTTTAACTCAAGCAAGCAATCTAAATAATATCTTTTCTTCGGAGAACCCCATCCTCCCTGCTAGGGATTGCAAACACAGAAAAAGACAAACATAAGTGTGTCACTGGGAGCCAGACAAATGCTGAGGTGAAGGAGGTTCTAGAGCAGTGGTTCTTAACTTGTGGGTTGTGACCCCTTTGGGGGGCGAACAACTCTTCCATGGGGGTTGCATATATATATATATATATATGAATATATATGAATATATAATATATATGAATATATATATACTATATATTCATATATATATATATATGAATATATTATGACTCAGACTCATAATAGCAACAAAATTATAGTTATAAAGTAGTAAGAAAAATAATTTTATGGTTGGGAGTCATGACAACATGAAGAACTGTATTAAAGGGTCACAAAATTAGGAAGGTTGAGAACCACTGTTCTAGAGAAAAGTGGTAACCAAGTGTTTTCGAAACCCCACTTTAGGCCATGAGACCCCACTTTATCATCTGTGATTGACAGAAGAGTCTATTCCTTGTCTCAAACTTCAGAATCACACTCTTTCTGGGATTTATCACGTGGGTGGAGTTCCCTTAGAACACCTTGGCCCATTCACACCCCAAGTCCCAGGGTTACATATGTTCAGTGGGAGAACTGGGCTCGGTGGACACACTCTCACGTGTGTGTGGCATGCTATACTATAGATCTGTCCTATTTTCATACCAGTGGCTGAGAACATGTGGAGGACATTTCACTTTTGTTAAGTAGCTGTTTTTATTTTGATGGCTCAGCACACAACTGCAACTCAGCCTCCTCTTTGTTGCATGGTTCCTCCACATGCACACGCATGCCTCTATTTTTGTAGCTGTGTCTTGCGTTTTTATTACCTACTGCACACCCACTCCTCTGTTGACACTTCACAGGGTCTGGTTGTTCTTTCTGCTTGTTCACACCCACACTGTTTACAACTCTGAGTAGTTGAGAGCATGTGTGTTCCTTCTTGTTCTCGATGGAAGGAGGCTTTCCCCCCTTCTTCTTTTCTTTTTTAAACTATTTTCTCTGAGAACAAGGCTTATTTAATCTAAAGTCATAGAGACGAGTGCACTCATGTGCTTTCTTTCTTTTTGCTACATTCTGTCGTATCTTTCCCTGAGTGAAAGTTCAGCCCATCACCCCTGTAAATATTTTAGATTTTCATCTCTAATGTCACAAATCACAGAGACTAAGCAGGTCTCTGAATTGCATTTAGAAATTTTTTTTATCATCTCAGAGGTTAACCAAACCAGTTTTCCCCAGCAAACATGGGATCTTATCACCCCATCTCAAACTTCTCATTATTGAGTCCCTTACTGTTTCTGAGGGACTTCGCACTAAGTATACCAGGTAGAATAGTTAGTACAGAGAGAAAGAACAGCTAATGACGCATGCAAAAGTCTCAAGTGACCCTATTATATCAAATTCTATTTTGTGTACATTTAGAGCTGTGTAAGTCGCAACAGGAGGTGGGCTTGTCGCACGGTGCCTACCCTGAATCATTCCCTCGCTCTCAGCTTTCAAGTCCAAAGCTGTCCTTTTAGGTCAGGCATTCATCAGAAGAGCACTTGCATTCACAGAACTGGCACCACGGTCACACCCACTCCCGTCTCTGATCCTGTTCATGGTTGTGGCATGACTGGTTACTAGACTGGAATAAAGAGAAAGCAAAACCGACACTGGGTGATCCATGGGCTGATTGCGAGCAGATCAACTACAGTTCATGTCCCTTCCCTTTCCCCAGTAGTCCCACCTTGGGGCTGCTGTGGCTCTAACCCAGATTATTGAAGTCACAAGATCAAATGCAGATGGAGGGGAGCATCTGACTTCCATGTGTTTTCTCTGCCCGAGTTTTGCACAGGATTCTGTCATTTCTTATGCAAACAAACTCTGTCCCGTTAGCATCTCTAGACTTCTTACACTTCAAACAGAAGTACAGCATTACCTCATATATATTAGCCATACACTCATATACGTGAACATATATATTGTATATTAATTATTTTATTAATCTTGGCAGTGAGGTCACTAGTAGTATATTTATGACTCTATTACTTCCCTCAGTAATAGAAAGTCTATTTATGGTCATATTTTTTTAATATATTAAAGGGTCACATTGTAGAACCAAGTAGGATATATAAGCCCAATGTCTGTAAGACTGACCTGTGAAAACTCTCATATTCAAGTTGTTTTTTAAAACTTTAAACTTTAAAACTTTTAAACTTTAAAACTCAGACTCACCATATCATAATAGGTAGCAACTATTGAAAGTACATATTTAGTTTTTATGAAGTGTATTCCCTTGTTTTAGTTTAAAGAAATGTTTATAGTCTTCGTTCTTGTGTTGCTAGAGTAAGTAATGGTGCATTCTTGGTGCATTGAGTGGAGACAGATTGCCTGGTTTTCACTGAGGTGTGTCCTGCATGGTCAGAAGCACCCCTAGTGCTCCTAACTGTTTAGAGCTTCTTATAGCTTTGTGCTTTAGGCAGCATGGAGATTATTGTCACCACAGTTTGCTGTTTGTAGCAAGGATGCTGTATTTAGGAAGTGGAGACCTCTTGGCTATTGCTCTGGGACCCAAACCTAAGTCACCTGATTGCAGCTAGCTTATTTCTATCTAGTGAACTAAAAACATAGGACATATCAACAATTCCTATTGTCTTGGTATTAAAATCACCCATTCCCTTTGGGCTAAGCAATTCATGTTTTATTATTTTGTTAATTTTATCATATCATTATGAAAGTCCTGGCTTTGGTATTTTTCTTATTCTGATTTTGTCACGTTGATAACTGAAGATTCAGAAAGTTTAGGCAAAAGTGTCCAAAAATGGCACAGACAATCCAGTAGAGAGGTTGGAGTTTGAATACAGAAATGCTTAATTTCAGATCCTAAGCACATTCAATTACATTCAGCCCAAAGGAGGACAGACAGTGTGAGGCTTTTAGAAGGCCTAGCTGAGTGTACTTTGCCCATTTATACTTCTGCTAGGAGTTTTAGGGTCATATATGATACAAACATTTCTTACTGTATAAAAATAAAATTCCTACCTTGTGTCCCTTCAGGTGCTTTCTTCCTCTGCAGTGCATATAATACTAAAGTCCCCACCTTGAACACATTTCACCATAATATACTAAAGGAAGGACAGTAAAATGAGAACCAATAAATGTCTTCATGGTAAACATAACTCCTATGGAGTGCAGCTGCCCCTGTATTTTCTGCTCTCTCTTTATCTCAAGTCTGAGGAGAGCATTCTTCAGGTTTTTCTTACCCAAGTGTTCTTTCAAAACTCCCTTTACCTCCCCCAAAGCAGTGTTCACTAAAGCATTAAGCTTGCACAGTTGACAGCTCCACCATACACCAAAATTCCTATCATTTGCAGTCAGTGCTACTAATGTGTTTTTTTAATTTAAGAAGCAAAGAAAACGCCACATTGCTTTCCCCAATCCCTGACATTCATACATCTATATGCTCCTTGAAGGTCTGTGTTGATAATAAAAATCAGCTGGGGAAATTGCGATAATCAGAGCAAACAGCACATGATGGAGTTGTCTCCTAATGACTGTGATAATAAATCTCACTACCATGAACCAACTAGTTCCTTTCCACCTCTCAAATCAGCTGTAACATAAAATAACCTTCTATGGGGCCATTCCCCACAATACAACAGTTAGTTTTTCCACATATTAACCTTCTGTGTTAGTCAGTAGATTTTATTTAATGCACCGGGCTTCCTTTTTGCTTGGGACCAGTCGTGGGTGTCCCCATCCACCCCTGTCATTGTCAGCCACAGTGTTGTCTGTATTCTAGCAGTGGGTGTCTAGTCCTGCCCTCTGCTCCACGTTGCCTCCCATCCACAGCTCCTCCCTTGCCCATGGCCCAGCTCTCTCTGCACCTTTTTTGGGCAGTTCCAGCCAACATGAGGAGAGGAGGGTGCGTTTTATGCTTCTACGTTTCTGGCACCTAGAATACTGTCCGGCGCTTGGTAGGCACTGGGCCAGTGAAGTAGACTTGAACACCCGATGTGTGCCTGAGACTTGGTGGCCTTGGGAGACAGAGTCAAGGAAGAGGCAGCTCCTCTCTTGCCTTTAGCCCTCCGCCCTTTTGCTCTGTGTCACCCTTGAGTAGCTCACACGTGTGTCTACATGTATCTGTTCTGTGCCTTTCTGCATGTGCCTTTCGTTCCTCAAAGCACCTTAGATGCCAAGTCGGAGAACCGGTGCTCCAGCCTTCTAGTGTCATTACCATTTTACGTTATAAGTTTTTTAGTGCATCTAAGTTCGCTCAGCCAGTGACTGACATTCATGCTCCTCCCAGAGCCCCCACTGCTTTAAAAATGGATGCAAATGCAAGAGCTTGTATATTACGTTTTGAATTAAGACATATGTAGATAGAAATAAATGTTGATAAAGCCATAT